TTGAGGGATAATTTTTACATCACACTATTCATAAGAGTAATTTTATACTTTTTATAAGCTAGAGAAACAAAAAACCAAAAATAGGAAATAAGAAAAGGGTGTTTTCACTTTTCTGTTGTCATTTTTCAATATTATCATAATTTTAAAAATTTTGACTAATTTTTTATTCATTATGTAATCCCCGAACTTTAAATATGTTATAAATGAAATTTAATTTTATTTATAATATTGTTTTGTATTTTTTCGTAAATTAATTACAAAATATTCAAATTATTAATTTGGGTCAAAAATTATTTTGGTACAAATTATTTTATGAACCTTCATTCTATAATTTATTTCAATACAATTAAAGCTTAGTCCATTTCATTCATTTGGCCCATTAATTTTATGAGGCTCAATCTTTCTATTTACCCTACAACTATCTCTCCTATAAATACCCCATGAATCCCCAAAATTTTCCCACACAAAAAGGTTAGTCTTATTTTCTCCTTTGTTTTATTAATTTGTATAATTATAATTATTGATTTATGGGTTTTGATTTTATTGTTTGAAATTAATTTAATTTGTATCAAATTGTATTTTGATGATTGAATTTGATAATTTCATATTTTATAAATGTCATAATTTTCAGATTTTGTAAATTTTATAACCTAGGGTTTTTAATTATTGAAAATCATGATTTTAGGGTTTTTATGAACAATTGATTTAGGGCTTTTATAGTAATGATGTTTTGAAATTTTGGTGATTATAACTAATGATTAGTTTAAATTAATTCCAGATTATTTTGAACATGTAAATTCGTGTTTTAATTTTTAGATTTCTGTTCGTTAATTTTAATCCCGTTTTAATCCCGGTCAGGTTCTGAACTCATCCGATTTTGATAAAAAAAAGAGTACAGTTTTCCATGTAGAAACAACGTTTTAAGATTTTCGGGCAGTTTTTAATTTTAACAAAGTTTTGTTTATACTTAAAATATTATCCTTGAGTTTGATTAATAAAATTAATTATGTTTAAAGTTAATTAAGCATAAACATATGTTTTTGTTGAAGTTTTAAGTGCTGGAAATAGTTTCTAGGTACTACTTTTGATGTTTTATAAAGAGGGTTTAATCACCCATTAAAAAGGGAGATTATTAGGGGTTTTTAAATAATTTTAAGATTTTTATTAAACTTTAAACTTGCTGTAATTTCATGTGTAAGAGTGTATTTTAATGTTTTTATGAAGAAAATTTAAAGAAATATATATAAGCCTTACATTTTAACTAAAGGGAAGGTTTTAAAGTGTTGTTTGATTTGAATTTTGAAGGTTTTAAAGTAAGTTAGTATTGCTGTAAATTTCATTGATTGGGTATTGATTGAGATGTTATTGTTTGGTTTAGGAGAGGAGTTTATTGAAGGTGATTTCTAGATAGTAAAGTGGCATACTAATTCGTTTATTCAAGGTACATACGAGTTACGAAACCTTGCCTTTAGATGCATGTTTAGGGATGTATCGAGAACTTAGTATCATGTATAGAGAAGACTGGGCTAAATTGTTTGGTTATACATTGTGATTTCCGTATATTGTGTATGAGGCATGTCTGAGATATAAGTATGACTACGGTTGTGGGTGATGTATAAGTGATTGTCTTATCAATTGGATATGTTATGATTAATTAAAGGTTATGGATTCTTGGTTGTCTATAAGTGGAATTAATTTTGATAATGGTTCCACAAGGTTAATTTTTAATACTCTTTCATGAATTAATTATGATTTGAGTAGAGGAAGTTCATTAAAGTCTTTTAAGACGAGGTTCAGGATTTGAAGTGCCGCCCTATGCACTTAAGGTGTTTATACACCGAGGTAGTTAAAGGATTCAATACTAAATATTGTTTGCCACTAATAAATCAAGAAGTGAATTGGAAATTTGGATTGCTTAGAATGATGTGATATTTGATTGATTATATTGTTTTGCATATGAGTCTTCACAAATTCTAAACTTGTAAATCACGTAAAGTGCAAGATGGATGAGCAATAAAACTCTAGATTTGTGCACATCTAGAGTAATGACAATCAAGGATTGGGGTACACGGGGTTTTAGCCATGCACTTTTCTCGAGGCCGTCTGATCTATGAGTCTCTTATTTCAAATACTTTTCAAAACTAGGAGTTAGATGAGATCTCATACTAACTACAGTCACGGTGTCGCGCCCGTGGTCGTTGAATATTTATTGATGTTTCCGAAAGGAGGCATGGGGTTTTTCTTTTTTTGATGTTCCAAATGGAGCATGGGTTGGACAACCTTGTCTATTGCGTAATCCAATGAAGTAAATAAATGAGTTAGTAAATATTAACTAGTGAAGTCTTAATAAATTTGATGGTTGAGTCATGTGTTGATTCTATAATATAATGATGCTTATGCTTGATTATTAGTAGCATGTTAGGTATTTCTTAATTTATTTCGCAGCTTTGCTGATTGCGTGCTTTTGTGTGCGTCTTTCTTTGGTCATGGCCTCGTCTTTCAATGACCCTGTGACGATCCAATTTTTACACATTTAATATTGGGGAGCAGATTAACCAAGGTTCTTACACATGCAGCATTCGCATCAGGGTTGTGGGATTTTGAGTGGAGAGTTGGTTATTATTCGCAGTTTATTTTTTTTCATAAGTTTGAATTTATTTAAACTCTGGTTTTATTTATTTACTACTTTTTTTGGGTTTTGAATAAGGGTCTTAATGGTTCCATCTTGTATCATTTAATTTGGTTTTGAAACTTATTTATAACCGAGTTAGTTTTTCCGCTGCTATTTTCTAATAAAGTCTTAACGTTTGAACACGTGGCGGTAGCACGCCAGTAATTCTCTTGAATATTGTTCAGGGTCCTCACGGGTTTAAAGAGGGAATTATTGGGGTGTTACACACTATATCATATATATCATTTGATTTAAAAAAAAAAAAAAAAAAAAAAACCACAGTGATTCCAAACGAACCCTGAATTAGCGGTTTATTAAAAGTAAAATCGCTAATTGGCGGTTTACTTACTTAAAATTCATGTGCACAAAACAAAACAATAATAGAAACCGCTAATTCAATTGTGACTAATAATGTCTAATTACTTCCTAGTTTTTTGCTAGGGTTTTCCATCTAGGTTTCTTTTTGGGAGGGTGTTTTTTTCTAGCTTTTTGCTAGGGTTTTTTCCTAGTTTTTTTAGGGTTTTCCTTCGATCTTCTCCCTTCTCCTTTTTTCCTCTTTCATCCTTCTCTCCTTGATCTCCATTGTGATTATTGGTAGGGGCTACAACTGTTCATTGATCAGTGGTAAGCCCCAAAATCCCTTTTTAATCACGTATAATTATAGATCCCACTCTTATATATGATGGTCTTAAAACCCTTGATTGGTGTAGATGATTTCTCTTTTGTCATGAGAAATTCTAATTTTTTTATGGTGGTTCGTGCGGCGTTGAATGAGTTGTCGGATCAATGACTACAATTATTTGAATTAGGTTTTGTTCAATTCAAAAACTATCAGAAATCCCAAGGCTCCTTTGTAGAAGAAGGTTGTAGAGGACATCGATTCAAGAGACGATGGTATTCATCAATGTCAATTCTCACTCGCGATTGTAGTTCGACAGAATTAGAATTGTTATTTGATTCAATTTTCATTGTATTTATCATTTCTGATCTCTTTTGTAGATGTCGTGTGGCTTCTTATTATTGAATTGATATTTCCTTCAAAAAAAATCTACAATTAATGAGTAAATTATAATCGTATTTTTTATTTTTGAGAGAAAAAATTATACAAAATACTCGTATTTCGTAGTGTAGTATTTGCATTTTTTGCAATGCTATGAATTTACTTTTGCTAAGGGGCATTTTAATATTCAAAAATTATCAAATGCAATCTGTATCTAATCCATAACATAAGGCTCCATATTACTATAATAATATTAAGTGTTTTGTTTTTTTTTTTTTTTTTTTTTTTTGAGGTCATAATACATGTATATAAAGAACCGATACTAGACTAACTTATTAAGAGCATCTCCAATGATTCAATTGTGAGGACTTGCTTGCAATATCAATATAGTTCTTAACTACATGCTCACCATTGGAGAACAAAAAATTGAGCAACATTCAAGCTATTAGAGCATCCCATTGGTAAGCTACAATACTTTGTAGCTTAACTTGCCACATCAAATATTGGAGCTAATATATTTTGTAGCTACAAGGTGCTCCAATGGTTAATTGTAGCATATTGTAGCTTGGAAAAATAATACTACCTCCGTTTCGTATTAGTTGCAACTTTGGAATATTTTATATCTCACAAATAATACCCAAAGTTGCAACTAATAAGAAACGGAGTAGTAAATAATTAAAATAGTTTTTATTATACACATGTCATATGTTTAATGAGTGATATTATCATTGAAAAATCAAGCAACATAGCTTGTTTGAGCAACGTTGCTTAATCTAGCTACATCAATTTTCCACTCAAATGGTAAACTACATGCTTGTAACTTTAATTAATTTGCAAGCAAGTCCCTATTTGTATACCATTGGAGATGCTCTTATAGCCCAAACAAGCTACATGCTTGCTTAAAAAAGAGACAAATAAACTTCACTCATATTATAACATATGTATAATTATTTATTTTTTGTAATTTTTTTTCCAAACTACAAGATGTTGTAGGCCTTGTAGCTTACCATTGGAACACTTTGTTATTAATAAGTATTGTAGCTTAAAAATTGATGTGGAAAAACAAGCTACAATGGCATTGTAGCTTGTCATGGGAAATGCTCTAAAATTATGATCATTAAGAAATATGACAACAAAAAATAAAACTATTTTTTTTTTCTAGATTCCAAATTTTGGTTTTTGTTTAAAAAAATGAAAATAAAAAACAATGTCGAACAAGCTTTAAAATATCAAATGAGATATCCTAAACCAATGATTAGATTGACTGGATTATAACTACCCGTAACGGTTTTGTTTATCATTACCCTAAGAAAAACATTATCAGGAAGCTAACAAAAATGCTTTGCTTGAATTTAATAAGAGCAATATGTAAATATATTCATATTTGTAGCTCAGTGCCCCCTGTAACTTAAGTTACTTGACAATAAAACATGGGGATGAGGCAATGTTCATATCACAGGTAACTGAATTACGTTCCTCCAAAACCGCAACTACCAATGGCTCCGGGTCTAAAAACAATTGCATGAAAAACTGCAACTGCCCCTAGAATAAGATAACCTAAACCAAAATGCCAACAGAAGGAAATTCTTTTACTTTTACAGGGTGAATCACAGCATAGTGTACAAGAACCCAACAAAAAAGGGTTGTGGTTTATCATAAAGAATGATGAATTTTACAACCATAGCCTCTCAAATCTCAATACAGCCCACTAGCTCAGCATGCACATCCACCTCTTTGCTCAGTTTCGGGAACTGCTTCAGGAATGCCTTGGAAATATCTGCAGACAGAATGGACACGAGGATCAGAAATGTTGATGGATCATTAAAAGGGGACAGGAGAAGATATTTATACTGTGCAAAATGATATACTTCCTCTGTTCTTTTTTACTTGATCTGTTTCTTTTATCACGCTTGTCAATGCAAAACTTTAACGATCAATAACTTAAATTCTCCATAATTAAAAATTATAAAAGTTATATATTATGATAGTACTTATTGAGACAAATCCAAAAAGATCATACATGAATATATTTTTTCTTACATATTATTCACAAAAGGCGGTCAAAAGAGGGGTGGTGAATAGTGTAAAAGTCAAAGCGGGTCAAGTAATAAAGAACGGAGGAAATAGTTTTTACAGATTCCAGGACAATAACTTTATAGCTGATTATGCATCTTAGACACAACACACAACCCTACAGTTTTTTTTTTTTTCCTTTTTCCAGTATCCCTAAATGTTGGTAAATCTTCATGTTTCACCTCTTATGGCTCTTAAGGTCAACGTCTCATTTTAAGGCTTTTAACAACTTGTTTGCTTATCAAGATTCACTTCTACACACAGCTACCAGATAAAACTCAATGGTAAAGCTAATGACATTTGTTGTCTAGATTCCTGTCGAGAAAGCCTAATTGTTCATGAAAGCTAGAGAAAAACTCCACCCACACCCCCACCTCCTTCCCTCTTTCTTTAGACAACAGATACCTGACATGGGCTACTGTGCAGATACTCGGCCAAATCCTACACGCTTTTAAAATCATTATTTTTGCCTATTTTCAAAATTGACCATTTATGTTCCTAATGTGAAAATATCATCATTATACTTGTATTAATATTAATCATGGTCATTATTTGGCAACAGATATATCAGATAGAAGCAAAAGAGCAACAGCACAGCATACAAGATGCGATAAGTTTATATATATAAAACATTAGGATTAGAAAAGGAAGGCTTTTGCATATCCAAGAAATCATAATCAATCATCCTACATAAAGAGATCCAACATTTCATGTTTCCTTTCACAAATCTTTATTCCATACTGCAGTGCATAATCAATTTAGTAATAATTACTAAGCATTTAGAAAAAAGAATAAATTTTGGATTTATAAAAATGTTTCTTCCAGGAGTACAAGACCATGTTTTCTCATCTAAACCATACTAGTATAGTCTTTCTTCAGAATTTAAAACTCATAAACGGGCATCATTAAGAATAATATAACAAAGTTCAAATTTTCACCAAGTTAAAAACTGGATTAGCATTTCGGGATGAATAAAGATAGATATGGGGCCAACAGTTTTGGGATGGACAGAGTAACCAAAATCAGAGATTCTAACAACAGTGATACTAAAGATAAGTATGGGCCTTCTCCTAAGCATACATTACTATATTCAAAGGGAAATACAATGTCAGATGCAGGTGCCATGAGCAAAAAAATCAGTTTTAAGATAGCTTACATGTCCTGCTCACGCTCATTGGCTAATGCAGCTTTGGCAATACATAGGAAAGCAGCATCAACATTAATATCCTCTTTGGCTGAAGTCTCATAATAAGGTATTCCCTTTGAAGCACACCAATCCTTTGCTTTTTTCTCAGAGACCTGCAATACTCTGTAAGAACCACAAAAAGAGCCTTATGTTTACTCTTACAATTTATGACAAAGCTTACCACTCTACTGTTTCCACCATCTATGTCAATCTTGTTTCCCAGTAAAATGAACGGGAACGCCTTTGGATCTGGAGGATTAGCCTGAAAAAGATAGCTATTCATATTAGAAAACATTGTTCAATCAGTCAGCAACTAAAGCTTCGGAAACAAGCACAAAAAACTGTAATTAGACTTTAGAGAGACTTAATCAGAAGACAACAAAAAGAAGCCATTAACTACAGGAAAAATATAAGGCGGAATTATAGATGCTAAAAGTGACAGATTCATGCTGCGCAACCCTCTCTAAATCTTGTAGGGGGTGCTGGCCTGCTGGGTTGCCAGGAAGCTAATCTAACATGATCAAGAGTTCAAGACATCCAACCTATTTCTATGAATTCTTTTTAGTTAGAAGAATTATAACAAGAATAATATTAAGGTATAAGGAAACAAGTATAATTCTCATAATTGATGATATATTTCTCACTTTCCAAAATACAAAGATGAGACTGTAAAAAAGGCAAATAATAGCTAACTGGTGTTGAAAATATAGCATGGGGTTAAAGCTTTAGGACCTATTATCAATTTTTTGACCATATTAATGTTCCTATAAATAATTCCATACTGCATCAAATATTCAAAAAGGCATAGAATTTTGCATTAAATTGGATTGACATGCCAACTGCTGTGGGTGCATTTATGTGAAGATGTTGTTTTCTCAATTTATTAAAGCATAGCATGGCCATGTCTAATCCACATATCATACCATTCAGTAGTTACTCCCACACGACTCCCTCATCACCCCCTCCCCCGGCACAAAAAGAAAAAGCAGGGCATGCAAATCCAAGAATTTTATGCACCCTTGGTTGGTTTTAGAAAAATATTCTTAGCTTCATAGATAATTGATAGTAGACATTAAATTTTTTTTTTAAGACAGATAAGAAGGTCGATATAATTTACAAAAACCTAAAAACAACACTCTACTCTTTCAGACTGTGATGCTTAGCTCCAACACCAATTCAGATATTTATACTCCCTCTGTTCATTAAGTTTAGCTACAGTTGCAATTTGCACGCATATCAAGGAAGGAGTACATAGGGTATAGGAGTGGGTCTGTGGGTGCATGTGGGTCAAAGTGAGAACAACAACAACAAAAAAAAAAAAAAAAAACATAAAGTATTTATAGGTTAGATAATTATATGCACGTGGGTATTTTTGTGGGGGGCAGGGAAAATTCATCACCTAAAATGGAAAAGCGAGTAAGAATGACCAGCTCACAGAAATACTAAAATGGAAAGTGTAAAAACTCAAAGTAATAAGGAACGCTTATTCTATCACCCTTGGATGTCAATCGACTTTGGATCTTAACACATTGAGTCAAATTGTTGTGCCGAGCCATTAAAGTTATACTCACAATAGAGTTTCGATTTGATTGAATAGCTAAGACAAACTCCTTTCATAAGAACAGTCACATATAAGCAGGACAAAGAGAATCTTAGGGTGCATTCTATTCACCTGATTTTTACTTATCTGAACTTATTAGCCCTTATTAAAACTTATTTTAGTTATAAATTAAACTTGGATAGTCTTGATGTACCCTTATCACAACTTATCTTATCTGAACTTATCTGAACTAATTAACCATTATCTAAACTTATTAACTCTGAAATAAGTGGAAATAAGGTGAATAGAACAGGCTGTCTAGCATTACAACAATGATAATAAGCATGTCATGTAATCATAGCATTCAGCAAAGAATAATTCCTAATTCCACAAAAGTTAAATCACATGTTTAATTTGTGCAAGAAAAGGGAGCACACTCATGTTTCAAAAGCAACATAATATATATCAGCATCCCTAACCTGCTTGAGAAACTCGTCGTGCCAATTATCGAGGGTATCAAAAGATTTCATCACATTAACGTCATAGACAAGAACACAGCAATCAGCTCCTCTATAAAACGCAACGCCGAGGCTCTGGAACCTTTCCTGCCCAGCTGTATCCCAAATCTGATAATACATCATACGAATCTCTTTAATTCAAGTTTAATGGGAGTAATTATACCAACAACAAAAAGTTCCAAACACAACAAAAATCCATCAAATTAGAAGAAAACCCACTTGTAGTGTAACAAGTCTATCATCAATTTGAAGCTCTTTAGTCACAAAATCCGCCCCAATCGTTGCCTTGTATTGTTGACTAAATTTCTTATGTACATATCTAATTAGCTGTTAAACGACCACAACTTCTTCAATCACAAATTTAATAAATAAGCTCAATTGACCAAATCCTTTAATTTCTTGACAATAAATTGACCAATTATACATCACAAAATTCAATAATATTGGCAAAATAAATTAAAATAAAAAACGTAATAAAAATCAAATAATACAAAGAACAAGGATACTGATTCATCAACGACGTCTTCCCAACCCTGCAATCGATTCAAAATCAATAACAACAAAACAAAACCCTAATTTTTTTTTATTTACCAAAATCACAAATAATTGACGCTGAAAATGCAGAAAATCAATAAAAGCATAAAATTGAGAAGAAAAATTACCCACTATCACCAAGAACGATGACTTTGAGCAGGGTACGACGACGAGTAGACATTGTTGATACGAATTAGCAGAGAATTTGAAAGAATGTTGTGGGATTAATTTCAATTTTTTCGAAAATAATTGAAGTATTTTTTAGAGAGAGAAAGGGGCGCCAATTTCGATCTGAGCTGTGTAGAAGAATAATTTTATTTATTTAATTTTAATAATGATAATAAAAATGGGAAGAAGAGCCGACAAATTAACCCCACCCACTTTAAACGACAGGTCAGCGTAGGTGTGTGAGGTCATGTGCTTTCTTTTTTGTAATATCCGGATATCCCTATGGCCCCCACCTCCCTTTTTCGCTTTTCCGATTGACGTGATTTGGATGTTGGGTCTAATCTATTCAGCTTATTTTTATTTTAATTTAGAATCTACTAATCTTCTCTCATAAAATATTCAATTCGTTCAACTACAATTATCAGTTCAGTTTAGCTCCAATCAGTTCAGTAAATCAGAATAGACCCTTAATGATTTAAGTTGGAATTAGGGTTAGAAGCTTTCTTTATTACTTTTAGATCATTGATGTAAAAGTGTTCATCAGTTGAGTTGGAGTCAAGGATTATGATTTTTTTTTTTCGGTCGTCATCCTGATTAGGGGTGTGAATGAGTTGAGTTGGAATCGAGATCACGAGTTGGGAGCTTTAGAGTTGGTTAGGCTTAGCTTATAACGCTACTTTAAATTAAACATGAGTCAAGTGTTGATAGGCCTTGTTACTTTTGTTCTTGGATCAATGTTTCAAGGGGGTTGTTTGGTTCATCCATTTACAATGAATAAAAATGGACTTTGAATACAATATGTATATTACTCCTTTTATTATTTTTTTTATATGTGTACATCTTGACTTTTGCCCTATTTACACACATCACTCGACTAATATGATGCTTTAAAAAAATCTGCCAATTTTTTCTCTCTTTTGGGGCACACGATAACAGTGGGGAGAGGGAAAGGGAAACAAGTTGTGAATGCAAAGAAAGAGAATCATGTTATGCCTTAATATAAGGCAACCGGAAGTTTTCAACTTTCATAAGATGAAATTTCAAGTAAGACCTAGAAGAATATTGTTTTCCCGAGCTCTTTGTTTCCCCAAGCTCTAATGTGTCTATTCTATGTATAATTTTGTCCCTCATCGCAAAGTCATATTTGTGCTTATTTGGGTTTTTGGAGCTATTTTTGTTACTATGTGTGTTTTTACGAGGCATTAGAGATGGATCGCGTTATATGACCAAGTATTAAAATCCATTACTGAAAAAGAGTAGATTTCGAGTTTGGTGATCAAGGATTTAATTCTAGAGACAAGGGCTCATCACACCCTTGAGAAGAAAGCCACGGGTCCATTGTCATTCAAGGCCAAAGTTGCGTAATTATCTATCCCTACACCCTAGAGTAGGGAACTCTACCTACACCCCCGTCAAAACGCTACGTTAATCCCCCTACCTCCATACCGAGAGCATACCAACAACTTTTACCCACTATATATACAAAAAAATGGAAAAAAAAAAAACAAAAAACTAAAACAAAACCTTTATTTCTCAACCATTTTCTCTCTCCTAACCCATTTTTCAACCATTTTCTCTCTCCTAATGAAAAGCTTTAATGGTAAAATTGTTAGCTGGCTTGCTTTGTTTTCCAACCAACAAGAGATTTGATGGCTCCATCCCTGGAAAAGTCCAACAACTGGTGGCTTGGATCACAGTATCCTCAGTGGCGCTTGGTATCTTTCGTCGGGAACGGAGGAACAGCCCGCCGCCATATAATTGGGCCTCAAATGCTAGCTACTGCTACAAGAGAAGTACCTCCTTCCTTGCCACGACGAATATGTAATACAAAATTATCATAAATCATCACAAGAAATTATTCAATCACTTTGTAATTCAACAAAACAAAGGTGAAGTTCAAAAAGAATAAGTTATTTTGTTCAATTTTAGAACGAAAAAGAGTATAAACACTAGGTTTTTACTAATTTTTTGTTGCGATTGTATTTCGAGAACATAATTGAAACATCAACCATGGAAAATGTACCAACATAAGTATAATACAATACTTCTAGTAATTTTTGTTCAAAAGTTAGTAAATTATTATTATTATTTTTTCTTTTTTTTTTGAAGGAAACAGTTTCAGATGTATGTTAAAAACAAAGATTTTTGAGAAATGTAAGTATTACTTCTTAATAAGTTTAGTTTGTAGTGATATTTTTTTAATGAATGTTCATTTCTATTTTGATAAATGTTCATTTATATGTTAGTATACTGTCATTCACATATTAATAGATGATTAATATAATTAAATGTTCATTCATGGATCATGGTTATACACATATTCATTTCCTTTTTGATGGCTTTGTGTTTATTTATATATGTATTTTATGAGTACATTAATCGATCATTATCTTTCATGGTCTTTTTAAACTAATGTATGTTCACTAATATATTAATAGATGTTCATATCTATATTGAGTTTCGTAAATATGTTCATTTATGTATTATTAGTTGTTTATTTTGATATTAATAGATGATCATTTCCACGCTAATATATGTTCATTTATATTCTAATTAATAGATGTTAATTTTCATATCGATCATCTAAAATTTTATACTCATCCATGTTTAAATTCATATGAAAATAAGTTTATTTCAACATTTATTTTTGCTCAAATCTAATAATACGGTTTTTTTTTATTTATTTTTTAATTTTATTAGTTAAACAACAATCGTGCATATAGTGAGTTATACCACAAAATAGCAAGGAAAAAAGTAAGGAAGATGACAACAAGAAAGAAACCAATAAGGCATGGAGTCACCGATCAACAAGAAGCAGTAAGAGCCTGTTTTCTTCAGCTTATTTTCAGTTCAGTTTAGCTCCAATCAGTTCAATTCAGTTGAATTTCTAATTTTCTCATAAAATATTCAGTTTAATTCATCTTCAATCAGTTCAGTAAATTAAAACAGGCCCTTACAAAAGCTTGAATTTTTCGAATTTGGATCAAGAAGTTCATGGTGTTTTATAATACATGTGGAATTGTATTGTATAATTTAATATCCAATTGTTCAATTTTTGGTGGTATACAATTTCATTTTGATTTTATTAAGAATGAAATAAACTTTTTCTATTTCCCAAGTACTACTATAAATAGTAATCTAGAAACACAAATACAAAAATATAATAATTTGAATATTTCATGTCATATATTATCATAATTGAACATATAATAATTATTTACAGAAATGAATATTTAATACTCCTTCCGTTTCATAATGTTAGTCCCATATACTATTTTGGGCGTTTCAAAATGATGTACCCATATTGAATCTATTCCTTTTCTACTTTATTTTATTTTCCTAATTTGGTCTTATAATTTCTAATCCCATTAGTGGATTGATGACATGACGGTAATTAAATATTCTGATTGGTCATCAATCCCATTAAACAAGCATTGTAATTGATGTTTTCCAAATAAAAAAATCACATCATTTAATAAGATAGAACTAATTAAGCAATTTTTGTACTAAAATGTAAGATTCCAAATATTATTCATTCTCTTATTTATTTTTTTTGTGATTGATTCTATATGGGACTAACAAAGTGAAACGGAGGGAGTAATACAGAAGTGAACATTTACAGTGATAAAAACGAACATTTTATATGTAATTCAGGACTGAAAAAACAACCAAAATGACATCATTAGGTAATAGTTGGGGTATATGCAGTTGTAACTACTTCGGGGTATAGGTAAAAATTTGTAAAAGTTGCGCAAGATGTGGGCTTGAGAGTTGAAGCCCAATCGAGAACCCTAGACCAAAGAAGACAAGGCCTCAAGGAAGCTTCAGAAATTTAGCCACCCAGTCGAGCAAGTGGTCAAAGTGAAGACCACTTAATTAAGCGGGCCAGATTGCACGGAGCTTAGCCTGATCTATGTGTGTTTTTTTCTCAAATGCCTAGATTTGAGCCACTATGTAATTTTTTTTTTTTTACGAGGTATATAACCTACTGCAAGCTTGACCCCAAAAGGCATTAAAATGGTTCAAATAAAACTGTCAAATTGTGAAGAAACAGAATGTTGGTTTAAATGTACATTCCTTCTGTCATATCTTACAAAAAAGGAAAAAAAAAAAAACCAAACCAATGGCTGAATATTTTATTTAGGAAAACTTTACACTCAGAATAGATGTTACCCCCAAGCCCCAAACATCTTCTCTCAAGCAAATTCACACACAAACACAAAACACCGATCCCTCAGCCAAAAAAAAAAAAAGAAAGGAAAAGGGCATCTTCAAATTAATTAAAAATAAAAAAGGAAGAAAGACCCTTATGAAACACCCAACCTCTCACGGATAGTGTCAAAAATTGATGCAGCTGCAGTATTTTGTGAGAAACTCAACCTCAACCGACCAAGCAGCTCACTATCTTTCGACTGAGAAGCAGCATCTGCAGCTTCTTTTGCCATTCCAATCTGAGCATAAGCCTGAGGAGCATAGAAATGAATCAGAAGATAATTTAAAAGTTGACACTGGTTTCAGATCACTTCACAAAAATGAGCATTTGCTGAATGTCCAAGCTTTTAACAAAATTGTATGGAAGAATAGCAAGAACACAATTCAGTTTACCTCAGCTCTTTCTCGAAGATCAATAAGTTTTGGAATATATTTCAAAGCTTCACCTTTTTCATCTGCATCAATGCAGGCCTCAACAAAGGGTTTATAACCTGAAAGGTGCAAGCACAATGCAAAGCTAAGTTTAACATCAAGAAAGATTAGGCGATTCGTTAAATTTACAGCTTGAATGGTGCAAGTATAACTTCAGGTCTCAATATTCTTATCCCTTAAATAATAAAATGATAATTTACTGACGACTTAAGAAACAAGTTCAGGAAGAACAAAATTCTAAAGAAAAACGCAATAAAATTGGCACAACTGCAGAAGAAAGAGCATGCCCAAAAAAAAAAAAAAAGAAAAAAAGAAAAAGGATGTTTTGTGAATGCAGCTAGCCAGAAGGTTTGAATGAAAACTTTAGCCACAAACCAAAAAAAAGGTAACATAAACCTCACAAAAATTTACCAGAGACCTTACACCTACACATACTCTAAATAAACACGACCTTGGTTCAACGGTTCAACCTATAACCAACTCCCATTTCAAAAAGAAGACACATTTTCGTTAAACT